ATTTTTCCACTGTCTATTATTTTTAAATCGTAGTATAGGTTTGGCTCACGGCTACCATCAAGCCTAGAAGAAAAAACATGTCGCACATCTGATAGAAAAATATATTTTTTACAAGAGAGCTATTTGAAAGTTTTTGCTCATCATATACTGAAATGTATTACAGTCGTATTTAATATTTGCTATAATACATACTTCAATATAAATACAGTTATACATCTCAAACTTTCTGCATAATTACAAATTGTGTCAGTTTGACAGAATAATCCGACCGCGAAACTGTCAAACTGATACTCTTTGTAATTATACAAGAAGTTATCGATGTATAACCTGAATATTTTGAAGTAAAAGTTGGAAAGGCTTTTGCTAGTTCTCCCGCTTTACACATAAATTTACAGGTTTGCGGCGGATTTCACCGAAGTGGACGCGATACATTGGCGTACAAAATTATTTTATAGATTTTAATAACAATTTCGAGTAAATAGTTTAATAAATTGTGAATAGCTGTTGAAATTTTGTAAAATTATGATTTGAATATTATAATACATGTTTAATAATTATTTATAGTCCATAAATACATGCGATTGTCCGGTTCCGCCGATAACAATTTAAAATTACTTATTCTATGAAACGACACTGGCAGGTAAACATTACTGCGAAATTCTCCAAGCAGTCCGACGTGGTTTGACGTTTACCCCCTCTCTACCTACCAAAAGCCTTTCCAACTTTTACTTTCGCTTTACTTATAGTATTACTACCGAGAAAGGGTTTTCAGTAGTTTCAGTTAGGACTGGCCAAATTGAAAGAAACCTCTTTATTATGGCTGAATTGTAAGTTATAATTATGCCAATACAGAGAGATTTTACCTATTTTAACCAACTCTGTATAGTAATATCTACATTTAATGAATGAATCATACTGTATTTGATTTTGGAAATATTGGTAAATACTTAAATAAGTACTATTACTAAAAATTTGTCTATGATAACCAGGCCAGATATCCAATACAGATCTTTGCGACAAAATACTTGTTCCCACAGAAATATGTAATAAAATTTAAAGTCCTTTTAATATAATATAAATCGAAAATTCTTAACTATGTAATTACTTTTTTGACCTAAAAGCTTTGAAAATATGCACTTAATGTCTTTTTAATTGTTACTTAAATTTTTTTTGTTCCCTTAATTTTATATACCTTCTTTTAATGTAAGGTAATTTAATTTAAATAAGGGGGTTTTATTACTTTTAAACCAAATATTGAACAAATCTTTGGTTTATATTGACACTATCTTGACAATGCGCATGACATTGTCAGTTATCGTAAATTTTTGTTTGTGTATTATGTATTGTAGTTAGGATTTGGTTTTGATTTGTAAGGATAAAAAATAAATATTTGTGTACTCTGATCATGGATGAAGAGAAAATTGGTGTTGTAGTTGCTTTGGCCTCTGAAATTTTATCAAACTTTTTGCCATGTTTATCAATAAATCTTGGCTATCTTAAAAATTAATCGGCATATGTGTTCATATCTAAGTACAGTTCATCAAATTTCTAGAGGTGTTCGACGCCCAGACAGAGAACGCGCTACGTGTGACTAAGATAGCTATTGTACAGTCTGCTAAACAAGTTATTTTAAATAGTTTTTAATATTTTTAGGTAATTAAATTTTAAAAGTGTGGAATAGTTTAGGGATTAAATTGGTCTGATTGGACTTTCTTAGAACGTTTTTAAAAGCAGCTAAAGATAGTATGTAGAATTGAAAATAATTATTATGCCATAAAAGGTGTTTTGGAATTCCTTCAACCTTTTGAAATTGAGTCAGAAAATATAAATTTTATAGGATAGCGAAAAATACCTATAATTTTTTTGTAGGCCTTTGTAAATCGTGGAAATAGTTTATATTTTATTTCTACCCTATTAAGGAAAATGGTACCTATTATTAATAACGGTTATTTCTGAAACATTACTAAAATTTTCGAAATTTTGTTTTTCTACAAAATAATAAACTATACTATTAAGAAAAAAATTTATTTCTCTTATAATTTTATAAAAAATAACAGGGGAATATTTACATTTCTTGATCTATTAAACAAAACGATAAATTATCTCGACGAATGACACCATGTTCTAGTACGGAAGCTAGCTTTACATTTTTGTTGGTGGTTTCATATCAATTTTTTGTAATTGTAGTTTACACGTACATATACCTCTTAACACTTGTTTGCTTTATTAAAAAAGTGTGTTGTTGTGATTTACGTCGAAATAAGTCAAAAACAACTTGAAACCCCATATAAAATCAAAAAGGAGAAACGGAAAAAAATTGAGCCTGTAAATGAACACAACTCATAAACAAAAATAACTATCTAATAATAAAAAAATAAAATTTGATTCTTGTGCACCTTCATCTATATCATTAAATGTTTTTGGTTTTTTAATGGTTTTTCTTGGTGATGAAAATTCCGATATCTCACGGTTATCGATTCTTTTTTTCTCTCCAGAAATGCGGACGACAGTGTTTTTAGATACTCCTGTGGCTGCAGCAACACGATCATTTACATTTTTAAATGGTATTGAAGGTGAATTAAAGTTTCCTTCTCTTCTCATAAACTCTATAACATTGGCTATTATTTCGCGAGATTGACTGTTAATCACGCGGCCTCTTAATTTGCTATTAAACTCCATACTTAGGTTCTATTAAACTGTAATGAGCAAAAAACACAAACGAAAATAAAAGAAATGTTTTAGCGAAATTTACATCTGACATTTACGTCTAAATGAAATAGTGAAATACTTGATGCGCAGAGTGTACTTTCATTGCGTAAATCCGTCGGGATGCCTGTCAGTAGTGCTTTCTCTGTCTAGCCGTCGAAAGCCTCTAGAAATTTGATGAACTGTACTCAGCTAGAGTTTCCAAATGTCCCGCTTTAAGCGTAATTGTACCACTTTTTTAACTTGCTGGCACGCGTTACGCCAAAGTACGAAAATGCCCCGCATTTTACCTAAATGCTACGCTTTTTAAATCCAAAGTTATATACGGTGAGCACCATAAGTCTTACCCCCCCCTATCTAACTCGTTACTGGAGTCCTTGTTAGGAAAATCGCCGACACATGTCGATTTTTGATTTCTACAATATACATTTGTATATAAATAGTTTACCCTTAATTTCGTCCCTTACTGGAGGGGAGCAACCCTTTCGAAAAATTTAAATGGCATGGGGTGGTGAGTGATAGCTCATTTGAAAGAGGGTTTTATTCTCTATTCAACCGTGTAAAAAATTTTGAAATTTGCTTCGTTAATTCTCAACTAATTATTGTTTCAGAATAACGGAAATTAACGTAACGCACTCATCCTTAGAATTAAAATTCGGTCCTGCATGATATCGGTTTTGGTTCAGACGTGAAGCAAGACTTTTTGCCATTAGAAGGTCACTGTTAGTTTAGTTGCTTTCCTATTTTGTGATGTTTTGTTATTTTTAAACATTAATAAATCAACACGTAATGACGCAAATTTCAAAATTTTTGCACGGTTGAATAGAGAATAAAACCCCCTTTCAAATGAGCTATCACTCACCACCCCTTGCCATTTAAATTTTTTGGAAAGGGTTGCTCCCCTCCAGTAAGGGATGAAATTAAGGGTAAACTAATCATACATAAATGTGCATTGTAAAAATCAAAAATCGACCTGTCTCGGCGATTTTCCTAACAAGACTCCAGTAACGGGTTAGTTAGGGGGGTAAGACTTATGATGCTCACTGTATAAAGAAATGTTTGACAATTTTTTACCTTTTTTTGAGATGCTCCTCAGAAAAAAACCCGATGTTTTATAAAAATATAAGCGGAGGACTTTTTTTAGATCTCCACAAAGAAAGGCGCTTATTTTATAAAAATACCTGTTTTTTAACCTGATCCTCTGTCATCACTGTTGTCCCACTGGCAACCCTATACTCAGCCTTTCTTTCGATTTTACAAATAACATAACCAAACAATAATTTAATAATTAAAAAGTAAAAGTTTTACATTTGTCATTTCATACCTGTGATGAACACGTTTTTACTGTAGTCATGTTAACTTGACCATATTCAAGACATAGTAACTGATTTAAAATCGCCTTAGGTTGTCTATTGATAATATTTATGCTGTGATAAAGGTCCAGCCGATATCAAAGGCATCGACAGTTAGGCCGAGCGCAAATTGAGACGCAGTTTGGTGAGGTAAGGTGACTCACCGTAAGTTTTTCGGAAACAAATAAATGAATGCAATAGCGAATTCTCGCACCCAGGGTGTGGTGACTCAGTTTATAATCATTTCTATGTTTGACAGAAACTCACGGTGAGTCACCTCACTTCTACTCAGCAAACTGTGTCTCAACTTGCGCTCAGCCTTAGTGTCGCTTCTCCTTGATCGGTATTCTCGGGTTCACCTTTATACAATGATGTCATGGTGTAATATTTTTAATAAATGAGAAAATGTAGTATACCTTTATACAGAGTGCGAGGAAAATAACTCATAACTTAAACAAATATTTTATTTAACAATTTTGGTTAATTTTAAATAAAAATTAATATAATAAAGTGTTTATTGTCAAAAAAACAAGAATCCATTTACAGGACCATTTAATTAACCATTATAAAAATAAAGTAAAATCAATTCCTATAATTAAAATATAACATTTAAACTCTATTTGAGTATTTGTAATCATGTATTATATTTATCTATTAACATGCCTAAAATGAAGGTCAACCTTAAATAGTGCCTCTCGGTTAACCAGGTTAATATGTATAAACAGAGTTCGTTCTTGAATTAAAATCAAAATTTGGTTATTTAGAGATGGACAATAACAAATCTGTAAAGTACATATTACTTTACGATTTGCTACTGCGTGTCTCTAAATTACAGTGAACACTGAAACTACTTGGAAGTCTAGAGCAGTTATAACTGAACTTCAATTTTCGTTCAAATACTACTCAGTTGAGTTTCGTTTATAAATATGAATATTTTTTTAGTTTGGACAGAATCTTACTAGCAACCATATTGACAGCCTACATGTACATTGCATGGAATACAGATGGGAGTGACTATCATTATCAAAAATATCAACTGGAACGAAAACATTTTAGATTGGATCATTTTTAAAATAACTTACAGAACATCTTGTATGGTTTTACAAAGAGTGGCACTTTAAAATCTTTAATTTTATTAGTATAAACTTACTTTTGACTACTCTTACTACCTACTTTTGAAAAAAAAAATAAAATAGGTATATTTATATTGAACAAACTTGTTATATTTATAGATATTTAAATAAAATTATATTTTTCATTAATCTACTTATGCATCACGGAATAATTGTCTATATTATTTTTTACATTAAAAACTCGGTGAGGATTAATTAAATGAAATTATATTTCATGTACACATATTAAGACTAGTTTTTAGATTTAAATACAATTTCATTAACTAATTGGAAATTTTGACTCTCTTTATTTCTAATTTCTCCTCATTCTTTTCCCTCCCTCTCTTTCTACTGGTAATTTCTTGCACTGTTCCAACTGTAGAATTTTTGAGAGTATCAACAATCAAATTAAAACAGTGTAAAATAATTGGTGAATTTTCTAATAATTTTACATAACTGCTCAAATCTTTATAATTAGTTGTCAAATTATAAATAAAAGTGCAATTTAAACATTCTCTTACATTTAATTTACAGAAAGTAAAATCAAAAAGTGTATTTAAATCGCATATATGCAATAAACAACTTTGAAATTCTGATATTGAATGGGCCACATCTCTGTTAAATGCAGCTGGATTTGTTTTTGTTTTCTCATCTACTTCAAAATAAACTATTAGAGATTTCAAACATTGGAAAGAATCATTTTTAGTTATATTTTGTAAAGCAGATTGAATTTTATTGGATTTGGAAAATTCTGTTTCTTGTTCATCAGAAATAAATTTAAATTGCTCAAACAGAGATTTAGATCTAAAAAAACCAACTTTTTTGTCAACATAACTTAAAACTAATTTACACATTATCAGTGAATATATTAGTGGCCAATTATTTGATTTCTTTTTTAAATAATACTTAACAGTTAAAAGAAAAACATGCCAAGTCTCTGAAAAGCGAATGAGACAATCAAAAAATATATTATCAATTGCCAATATATTTAAAATATATTTCTGTTTGGTGCTTTTATCTAGTGCATTTATTTCTTCATATATAGGTAAAGTAATGTTACATAAAGGTACGTTTTCATCTATTGGACCAATGTAAGTCATTGGTGTCTCACGGTTTGTTAAAAGTTTATGAATTGCACTTAATATGCTAAAACTAATTTTATGTGAATGTTCCCCATAATAATTTTCCACTTGTACTAGATGGAAATATTTATTATGCACTATAATATTCATAAAACTACGAGGATACTGACCACGCTTTAATTTTTGCAAAAATTCAGGATGTATATTATTTGAATCAAAATTGATGTTATTTTCGAGCTCTTCTGTAATAATATTAATAGCACTTGTAGATGCACCAGTATTAGATAGTGGTTGTGAATCATTTAAATTTTTGCTATCAGGTAAATTGTAAATTTTAATTACAGCTTCAATTTTATTACAAATTTCTTCGTTTCCACTAAAATAATAAAATATTTCTCTTAAAGCATCTTTACTATTTTTGCTTTTTAACCAATTTATAATTGATTCAATCTTGTTTTTAGGATTGAATTTAAAATTTTCTTGACAAAAACATTTAACTTCATAATGATTTATAAAGTCATTTCCTGCCAAAACTGCTAGAATTGGTAAACTTTTTACTTGTAATCCATGAAATTGTTCTAAAAAATATTCTTGTTTATAGCATTTACAACTAATACATGTTTGCAGGCCAAAATCTAATCTAGAACTCAAATTCTTAAATTTTATATGTATAGATTTAAAAGGAATATACAAATTAGCATAAATATAATAATCTGAATCGTAGCTTAAAATAGGACAGTTTTTTTCTTTTGCAATATTTGCAATGCGAATATCTCCTTCAAAGAAACATGTTTCTGATTTAATTCCCTTTTCTGTAATGATATCATTAAACACTTGAAACATAAACAAACCAAATAGAAATGTAGTTTTCTCCTTTTTTTCTGATACTGGATTTAATGTGCTTGCATATGTTTCTTGGACCTTCCTTTTTGAAACAATTTTTTCCAATTTTTTATGTTCATAACCTCCATCAAAAACAACATATGGAATTATATTGCATTGCGCCAGTAGTTCAAAAAAGTCACAAATTATTTTTCCAAATACATCATAATTTCCACCAAAACATTCAAAGTGGGATGCTTCCTCCATGGATGAATCATGCCATTGTCTATAGAGAAAACACATAACAGAATTTCCATCTATTATAAGATTTGTTTTTTGCAATATATAATCTTTTAATATATTATCGGATCTGTTTTGTTCAATAAAAGTTGTAAGACCACTTACACCCATTTTATATATTTTTTGTTACTGACTAAATTATAGGTGATTCACACATTGCACTGTCAATGTAATTAGGTCCGTATTTATGAACAAAACTCAGCTGAGTCGGATTTGGGTAAGTCGTCCTTGAACTAAAATCGAAGTTCGGTTATATTCATGTTATATCCACATACTTATAATAGGTATACGGAGCAAGAGAGACGTCCGACCTGTTTAACAAAGGGGCGGCCATTTTTATACAAGATTACTAGTACATAGGTGACCAAAAATACAGCAATATGAAAACTTGGTTGCAGATGTCTAGGTCTTTTCACTTTTAAATACATCATTTTGTACAGATTTTTTTAAAAGAAATAATACAATATTATATCTGAATTAAATTTTTATTCTACAACAAAAAAAAATATTTTAATGTTTAAAAATACATGTTAGGCTGATAAATAATAGGCCGACAAATAATAGATTAAATACCTAAATACTAATTTTAAATGACAAAAGTACAGTAGAGGAAGTTACAAATATTAAAATTTCCAGGATACTTTAAAATTAAATTGATGGTTGCATAGGTATTTGTTTTATTTTAAACAATTTACTTTCTTCTTGTATAATTTCTAAAAGCTACAAATTTTTAGTGAACGGGTCGTCCTTATTGATTCTGCAGTGAATTGTACTTACTAACAACTTAAAAGAAATTTTGTCCAATCTCTATATGGCAGATAACCACAATAAGGAACGATCTGCTTGTTTTGGAACCCTAAAATAATATAAAGGCACTTCTTTCATATCCTTTATTTTTGCTAAATCTTATTACTTACTTGTAGAATGTAACATTTGAATCTATTGGCAACAGTTTCCTTATGTTCTTGCAAGATCTTACAAGACAAGACATCTTGAATAAAGCCCAGTATAGAGAACTTATACTGGGATTAAAGTCTATTCACAAATGTTAAAATAAATAAAACGTTTATACACTTAGAAAATAATATCCACAATCAAAATATTCTAAAATAACACAAAAAAAATTTAACCAAATTCACAAACACATTAAAATTTGACACTTTTGACAGATGGAAAGATAAATTGGTTGCATAAGTTTCAGTTTGTTTATATAAAAATGGCGGTCATTTCTATCTTCTTTTATTAAACACTCAGTAAAGATGCGCAGAGGGTTTTACGCCGTATACCTATTTAAGTATGTGGTTATATCGCGTGAATTAAGAGATGGGTAGTAACAAATTCGTAAATGTATATAACAGTTACAGATTTTCTAATATCTGCCTCTAAATTCCAGTCTAACACCAGAACCACCTAGGACTTTAGAGGCGTTGTAACCGAACCTCGATTTTAGTTCAAGGACGACTTACCCAAGTCCCACTCAGGTAAGTTCTGTTTATAAATACCTTGTTCTCAATCGCTGCCAACTCATCACAAATCACGTAAAGCTTAATTTATAACCGCCGTAACGTAACTTATGAACTGAACGTAAGAAGTTGAAATATTGAATTTACGTATACTTTTTTATAAATGTTCGTAACGTAACTTAAGAAAACGTACCGTAGAAAGTTCGCCAACTTTTAACTTAACAACTTAAGACCTTAACGTCAGCCAATGAGATAATTCTGAGTTCAGCATGTGATAACTGTCAATTATTATTTTTATTTTTTTTATAAATGAATGAACAAATCCCATTCAGCGTTGCCACTGCTACCCCGATCGGGGTATTTCTACCCCGCTACAACAAGTTTTGCCTCCCTACCACCTCCCTCGTAAATCTACCCCGATTTTGAAACACTTGCCTACCCGTTTTATTTAAATAAATTGATACTGAGCAGCACTTCTAAAATAATATAAATAATTTATGTACATACCCAGACAACACACCAAATCCCAGAGATATCCGCAGAATATCTTTTGTGGATATCCAATATATCCACAGGATATCAGAAATATTCCGTGGATCTAATATGGATATCCAAATGTCCGTCTATATCCAGGATATAGAAGATATCCTAATGGATATTCAGCAAAATATCTAATGGGTATCTTCCAGAAAATACAAGAAATCACAGAGATATCCACAGAATATAGTTTGTGGATATTCAATATAGCCAATATGGATATCCAACTAATGTCCGTCTATATCCCAGGATATAGAAGATATTCGGATATTCAGCAAAATATTTTATGGGTATCTTTAGTAGAGGTTCATAAGTAACCAATGATTATTGAATAACGTCGAAAGAAAATAGCAGAGATAAAAAATATTTTCAACACTCAAAACACTCTGCGTTTTGCCCACTAAGGAGAAAGTCATCCTTATTAGGACTCTTCAGCAATAAATGAAAATTCTCGACTCCAGTCTCTAATGGAGTGATTAGGACACACATTTCGATCGAACTCAATTACGGTGGATCGAGCATGAGTAGATGCGATAGTGGTATCGCCATCTATACTTAGTAAGCAGAATCAAATAACATCTAGTGGATATCCACGATGGTTTGCGCCACATCCCCAACTAGCCATTCATAAAAGTGTATTTGTTGTGAAGTCCTCATCATCATCTACTCTATAGTCCAGGAGACAGCGACGATTTTCGGTATTTATTTTCCCAGTCAGCAAGCACGGATAGAGAATTGTAGGATTAGCAATTCTAAGCAAAATTCATATATATATTTAGAGGGGGGATCCGATGGACTGAGGCCGAAAATGCGTCAAAACATACGAGAACACGGCCTTTTTTTTCCATTGATAAAAATAGTTTTAGTAGTAAGAGATGTACTGAAGTTAAGTAAAAAAATAGTCTGATTAATCTGTGAGTATGGATAATATATTTGGCAAGTGCATAAAATACACTTTCAAACGAGTTATGTACACAATTATTTCTACGACCACAATTATTTAAAGAATATTCCAGGTGTTTTGTATATTAAAGTGTACGCATAAGACACATAAATAAAATTATATATCACAATGTTTCATCTAACCAGTTGGTTTATTTATAGAAATTAAACATAATAATTAATTAATTGGATACGCGTGGTAGATATGGTCCTATAATACTGCTAAAAACAGATAAATTTTCATGGAAACGCTGTACTTTTGACATTTGCGATACTCAAACGCATATGCATTATTGATGTAATCTCATGATTTTACAGTAATATTTTTTGCAATTTTAGTGTGATTTTTAGGTTAATATGGTTATTCATTTTATTTGGTTCTGATCTTTTGCGCTTTTAGAGTATTTGTCTTTTATAGTTATAGTTTTTAATTTGAATTTTAATATTGTGGTCTATTTATATTTGATTGCTGCTTTTCGACTGGTGCTTTGTTCTTTTTGTGTTAAAATAAGCTTCATAACCATTAAGTACATGCTTCTAGTTGATATTTACCTAATCGTCATCGGGTGCTTGCAACAATGGGAAAAAGTGTATGGTTTTTTTGGTGTAAAGTTAGACGCTTTCATTTTTCAGGTTAGTTATTTTTAGTTATTTTTTACTTAAAAGGATAGCAATACGTCCTGGTTCGAAGTGTGACTGTTGAGTTTTAGCTATATGAGCCAAATTATCGGCTGTGTCCTCTTTTGGGGCACCCAGAACCGAAAACTATATATAGTTACATGTTTTTTAAATTATTTTTCAATAGGTATGCAGCTTGGATGAGGGCTTTAGGAAGAAAACCTAAGACTGAAACACTGACTGCTATATATGCCGTTTTTAGAGCACATTTCATAGAAAGTGATTACATTCTAGCAGGAACTAGGAAAGGTTTAAAAAACATGCTGTACCAGCTATTACTTTAAGACCTCGTCTCTTTAAGTTATTATTACTTCATTCTAATGCACATATTAAAATGGTTTTTAACTTGTGCCCTTATAATTAAAAGATGTAGATATTTTAGTTATGTTATAATAGAAATATATGATACATTGTACTGACTGACCTATTGGCCACTGGTCATTCTACTTTTACTCCCTTTTTTCACAAATTGTCAAATTATTTAAAAACAAATACATACCTAGCTATTTTCTGTAAATTACATTAAAAATGTAAAAAACGTATTTCTCAAATAAGTTGCTTGAGATGGGGTCGTTTTTATGGAAAATTTTAGTGTTAATACTTTACTAATAAAACTACAGTTAATTTATCTTATATATACACAACGGAAGAGTTAATTGGATTTTCTTCTTGTTGAGTTTCAAAAATAGTAATTTAACATGATTTAAAAACAAATACATGAAATGGGCAAAATAGACCTGCAAAGGCACTTTGTACACAATCTCACTTGTATCGATGTGACTTAATGCGCGAATACAATCTGGCTAACTTTTGTTAATAGATTGGCGTTCCATTTTAAATACACAGTTCACTGGGAAAAGATTATTTAAATATACACGGACCGGGAAAACAAGTACTTAAAAAATTCACTAGCTCCTGGACTAGTACTGTATCGAAGGAATTTTATGAATGAAACAAAATACGACCCTAATACAATTATGGTCTACAATAGTTCCGCTGTTGTCAGACGTTATTTTTTTTTTGACAATTTAAAAACCTAACAGTATTATAAGCAAACGTAATTACATTACTACAGTTAAAAACATCGCAAACTTGGCATCAATATTTTAATTTTATCCAAATATTGTATTTCCGTCGAGGATCATCCGGGTTGACTTCAGAAATTGTGTAATCTGTCTTGGTTATATATATCTATAGTTAAAAGCACGTAAACTTGGCATCAACGTTCAATCAGATTATTGGGTTTCTACCGCGGACACCAACGTTCATTCTTCAAAAATTTTGTAAATAATCCTATCTGTCTTGGTTATATATCTATGGTTTGCGCTCGCGCCTAGACTTTTTGATATATTTAGTGGATGTTCATGGGATATTAAATACACCTTAAAAAAATTTATTTTAAATATCTGAACGGTACTATTAGCCACAATGGTGAGCACAATGGCGTAATTTTTTAATAATTTGCTATATAATTACTATTATTTATATGGA